GACGAAGAGTCAGGGGAGGTGCAGAGCCTCCGGCCACAGCGGCTCTGCTCCTCCCCGACTCTTCGGCTCTGTTTAAGAGCCGAGTGCTACGGGCTTTGGGCAGCCCTCATACCTCCGGACCCTGCGCCGTGTATGTGTCAACAGTAATAGTTACCATGTCATGGAGGAGAGAAGGGCAATAAATAAGAAACAAAGTACAAGGAAATCATTAGATTTTTCTGTTATAATATAATTTCTTAATCCTAACAAGTGCTTAATGGTTAATCTTAACTTTTGGTTAATTGTTGGTGGGCACGATTCTGAAGAAATTAGTTGTTCTGTTTTCACTGTGTAAAGCAATGTGGTTTTTTTCTTTTTACAGATAGAGAAGGTGCTTAAAGGAGATGGTAGTACTGGAAATATTGAAATATATAAAGAGAACATAGAGAAGTACAACCTGAATGGAAAAGCTCTAATATTCAGCAAAAAGGAAGAACTCTTAAAAATCACAGGCATGACTCTGGTACACTGGGCCAACTTCAACTGTCATTCCTCTGAGTTCTCCTGGAAACTGGTTTTTCCCATTCATCTGTGCCGAGAGCCGCTCTCTCAGAGATCCTACCGGTAATCTCATAGACATTAATTCTTCCCTCAGTTAAATGGACACAATTCCTGTTAAAGGGTACCAAAACGCAGAACTGAAACCAAAGCTTAGCTATAAAATGGGTTTTAAAACTCCCCCTCAAAACATGCTGGCATAGTGGGTGAAGAGCTACAGCATAGATTGGACCTCAGTGCATCCTTGAGTGAGATCACTCCATCTGTCTGGATCTTCTCAAATGGCAGATGTTTGAAACTTAGCCTACAGCAAAATGAACATGTGCTAAAAAGACCTTGTTTTCCAAACTTGTGTGGAAAAAATAAGCTCTTCAAAAGTATCTTTAAAAGTTTGAGGAGTGAGAGAACTGCCACTTTTGAATTAAAAGGACCGCAAGAATACATTGAGCTCAATCATCTGGTTGCTTGAGCATATTTAACCTCCACCGATGTAAATGGCCAGTTATATGTGTGCAGTTGAGGGGATAACCCGTGATTCCATGGTAAAGGCTGACTAAGGTGCCACAATGAAAGAACTTGGGCTGCCTCATGCAGGCTTAACAGGGAATCAAGATGTTCTTCCAGCTCTATAATCCTGAAGTGGCTATTCTGCCAGACCTTGGGACTCATAGACAACCAACCGGTGTTACAATTCAAAGACAAAAAATGTGCTCTATGAGGTATGTTCACACAAGGACCTCTGCAGCTGCATTCTCCTCCAATACAAACAGACACATTAACCAGTGGTCCACAAACTTTTTCATTCACATCCTCCCTTAACTGATCTGCACCCCCCACCCTCCGAACTGTGGTTGGGAGCTGGGAGCAGAGCCAGAGCTGGTCAGGAGCTGGGGTTGTGGGTGCCACAGCTGGAAGTGGAACTGCAGCCAACCAGCAGTCGGAGCCAGGGCCAGTGCTGTGCTCCGGGCCGTGGGCCACGGCTGGGGAGCGAGGCCATGGTCAAGCCCAAAGCTGCAGCTGGAACTACAGCCTGGAGTGGGGCTGCAGTCGCGGTCGGGGCCAGGAGCGGAGTTGGGGGCAGAGCATAGCTGGGTGGCGCTCCCTCCCCACCCTGTGGGGGCTGGCCTGGGTCTTCCTGCACCCCACAAGGGGGGCTCACCCCACAGTTTGGGGACCACTGCATTAAATGCTGTGCTATTCTCTCACTAAACTCAACATTTCCAGAAAAGTGTAATCTGATGCGAGTTTCGTTGCCAAATACTGCTGCCTTGATTATAGTTCTGAGAAAACATTTTTGTTTAAAAGTGAAAACAGATGAATAGGTTTCCCAGACCCTCACTATCTCCCCAAATCATGTGCACCACTGGGATACTAAGCAGCCAGAATTTATGCAGGTAACTAGTCAAATTACTTCCCTTTTAAGTGCCATAGACTGGCTCCGCATCCAATTCTGTATTAATTTTGAAATTTTATTACTTAATTTTAAGGCCCTTATTTACTTCATCATGGGGTGTGAGGCTTAAGTAACTAATGGAGAGAGGGATAACTCAGTGGTTTGAGCATTGGCCTGCTAAACCCAGGGTTGTGAGTTTAATCCTTGAGGGGGCCACTTAAGGTTCAGGAGCAAAATCAGTACTTGGTCCTGCTAGTGAAGGCAGGGGGCTGGACTTGATGACCTTTCAAGGTCCCTTCCAGTTCTATGAGATAGGTATATCTCCATATATATTATTAATGTTTGCAAAGGGCCTTGAGCATCTCTGACGAAAGGCACTAGAGAAGGGCAAAATAAAACGTATTTATATTGGACTGAATTTTTAACACCCTAATATCCTTGAAGTCCAAAACGGTAGGACTTTGTCCATGTTACATCTTGAGATGTAATTTAGAAGTTACTGCCCATCTGTTCATGTATTTCCTCCCCCCCCCCCACCCCGGGTTGCAGGGTGTAATATAAAATAAACAAACACCGGCTGCTGGTGCTTTTAAAATGCTGTGAAGTGTCCTGTGCTGGATGCTGTAGAAAGAAATTGTATTGCTGCTGTTGAATATTTGTGCGTGACTGATCCTTTTAGTCTTCTCTTTTTTTTTTGGCTTTGTTTAGTAAACATACACCAGTTATATTACAGCCTCAATCCAGAGATTCTGTGCTTGGTGAAGGATATTGGAAACGGAACCTTTTGTGTGAATTAAGGCAATGTTGTGTCTTGCGGCCTGGTCGGTTAGATAATATTCAGGACTTTGCAGGGTTGTTTCCATTAGGATGAGAAACCAATTATATGTATGTTCTCGGTGTAATCTTGTTCATTTGTGTAAAGTATACAGTGAGATGGCTGAATTGATCTTTTGTCCCTTGACATGTTTTCATAGTGGGATTCGTGCTTTTTCATACTGGGAATCACTTCTTAAGACCGAGATCCTCTTGGGAACACCTCCCCTCCCAATTCAGTGCTATCCCCCTGGTTCCCTCCAACTGCCACGGAACCTTCGGGGCCCGACATTCTACCCCAACTCCCTCCCACCCCCAGTGCCAGCGTTCCCTCCAACTGCCACGGAACCTTCGGGGCCCAACATTCCACCCCAGCTCCCTCCCACCACCAGTGCCAGCGTTCCCTCCAACTGCCACGGAACCTTCGGGGCCCGACATTCTAACCCAGCTCCCTCCCACCCCCAGTGCCAGCGTTCCCTTCCAACTGCCACGGAACCTTCGGGGCCCGACATTCTACCCCAGCTCCCTCCCACCCCCAGTGCCAGCGTTCCTTCCAACTGCCACGGAACCTTCCTTTGGGGGTCCTATGTTCCCCGGCCACAGCTGCCAAGCAACATTCAGGGCCCAAATGTTCCACTTGACAGCCCCCCTCCCACCCCACCTGTCAGCCTCCGCCAGCCGCCATTCCCGGCATGCAATGCCCCAGCCGCGGCGCGGCCAGGTGGGGAGACTACACTTCCCAGCATGCAATTCTCCCCCACGCGCGCCGGAGGTGCCGCTTCCTCCCTCGCGAGGGTGACGCTGCGATTCCCACGACGGACGGGCTGGGCAACCTATCCCTATTGGGGGCTCCCGCCGGAAGAGGGCGTGGTTATGACGAGTGGCAGGCCCGCTGACCTATCCTCCTGGGCTCCCGCCCCTTGGAGGGCGGTGCTTCTGTGAGTGACAGCCCGGGCAGCCTATCCCCGCTGGGACTCCCTTCCCGTCCGGTTTCGGCGGCCTTGGCAGGGCGGCGGGGACCGGGGAGAGGCCGCCATGGGCTGGTGGGTGCGGGCTGTGGGGCGCTTCCTGCGGGGGGCGGCCGGGCGCAGGCCCCCCGAGGGCCCCGGCGCAGCTCGAGCCGGGCCTCTGCCTCCCCGCCGCCGCCCTCGGAGCTGGACAGGCGGACGCCTGGCTGCTCCGGAAGGCGCATGAGACGGGTCAGCGCGGGGGGCCCGGCCGGGAGCGGCGGAGGGGCGGGGGACGGGACCCATGGTGGGGGGGCTGTAAGGAGGGGGAAGGGGCCCATGGTGGGGAGGAAGGGGGGCTGTGGGGAGGGGGAAGGGGCCCATGGTGGGGAGGAAGGGGGGCTGTAAGGAGGGGGAAGGGGCCCATGGGGGGAGGGGGCTGTGGGGAAGGGGCCCATGGGGGGGAGGAAGGGGGCGTGTAAGGAGGGGGAAGGGGCCCGATTGTGGGGGGTGGCGGGGGCTGTGTGGAAGGGGCCCTTGTGGGGAGTAAGGGGGGCTGTGGGGAGGGGGAAGGGGCCCATGTTGGGGGGACTGCGAGGAGGGGAGCTGGAGGGGAGGAGCGGCTATGGTTGGGGGTGGAGGCCTGTGGTGGCGGGGCTGTAGGGGAGGTGCACTCTGGTCAGAGGAGGAGGCCTGTGGTGGAGGGGGTGTTGGGTTGGAAGGGGGAGGGAGGCTTTAGGGAGGTTGTGGGGGGCTGTATGGAGTGGGGCCCGGATGAGAGACAATGTGGATATTGGGGACTGGGCATGTGAGGATGGGGGCACAGGAGGGTCAGTGTACTCTGGGGGCAGGACGGTGGAGGGGATCTCATGGGGTGGTAGCTGGTCCATGATGTGGCCTGAGGCATTGTGGGGGCTGGGCTGCTGCCACTTGAGACATGAAGTGGGGTGTGTGGACAGGGTGGGTGATGCAGGAACAGTGTGGATTAAGGGCTTGGTTTGGTGTATCAAGGCTCATTTGGGGATGGTGAAGGGAACAGTACAACATGTGGGTGAGGTTGGGGACAGCACATAGTCGCAGGTAGTCTGATGACAGGAATGGGGTAGGGAACGCTTGGGAATAGCATGGTGGGAAGATGGTGTAGGGGACAGTGCAGTGATGGGGTTGTCATAAGGGCTGGAAGGGCATAATGTGGTATTCTGACAAAGCACGTGGGTCAAGGTGGTGCAACTGTATCTAGATGTGGACGTGCGCCTAGGGTTGGTACAGTGTGATGGCATCTTGACACGGTGTCTTGTTTTGGTTAAAGAAAGAGAGTGTCACTGACCAGGGTGGATAAAAATCATTGATTTTTAAAAAATTAAAACATTGGATTTTTTATTTAAATAGGATTTTTCCCCAAAAAGCATTTTATCAAAAAAATCTGATCTAAAGATAGTTTTAATCAAGATACATTATAGCTCAAAGATATCTCATCATGGAATAGGGATTATAAATTCTAATTCTATAGTATGAGAAAATATATTCATGTCATGTTGAAGAAAAGTTTTGTAAATGAGTTCCAATAGTTCATGGATTAGGGACCCAATCTTATGGGGTTCCAGGGGCTTCTGTGTAGATTATTTAGGTTAATCTTTCTATCTACCCAATGGGACTCAGTGCTCAGTCTAGAAGATACCATCAGAGATGCTTAGTTTTGCAGTTCTCAAACTGTGGATTTGTGTCTCCAGAGGTAACATGATTGTTAACAGCAAAAAATGTTTTAAAATAAATAAATAACTTTCAAAGACATTTCTCTGGAGTTTCCAATGGGTGTGACAGAGGTTTGAGACACTACAGGACCATGTGGAGGTTTGATGCTATGGAGTCCTGCAGTTGCTTGTGTTCCCATGCTATAAATATGAAAGGGATGAACATGCTATAGACAAAAACCCAAGGCTGTGACCGTTAATCTTTTAAAGAATTTGCTTCCCAGACAGAATGGTTCCCCGTATCCTCTCTACCACAACAGGTAGCAGTATAAACGAAATAATAACATGGCTGAAGAAGAGGAAACTCTAGCTTTCTCCTGTTCTCTCCTCAGGTTTCCTGTCCTGGTTTCGCAATGGCTTGCTGGCAACCGGCGTCGGAGTAATTTCTTATGTTCAGAGCGACATGGGACGAGAGGCAGCTTATGGTAAGTAACGCGCGCTATAGATGAGCAAGGGGGAGATTTGAACTGGACACTGCACCAATGAAAAGTATTATTGTCACCAGGTTAGTTAACCCACCACTGAAGTGTTGATTTTTGTAACTAAGGTCAGTTTGCTTATGCCCTGTCAAACAATCGCTGAGCCCAGAGGTGGCCACTTGTCAATTATGGGTGAAGCAATCCAGTCCAGTGTGTACAGAATTAGTAGATTTCATAAAACACTTTGAACCGCATGGCTGTAGCAGCTGCTTTCTATATCTGTAAGATCAGGAAAGGTTTATAACCACCTGCATAGCACAGGTCAGACTAGATAGATGACCAGTGGTCCCTTCTGGCCTTAGAGTCTATTAATCATTTTTTATAAAGCTCCTACAAATGTATTGTCTGGATAGATCTTTAGCCTATAGACTATAATGGCTTATGTGATTATAATAGTCTATACGAAGAAGTTAATAGGCATCTTGAAATTGCCTTAGGGTCTTCCATGTAAATATGTACTGACGGCTCCAGTGCTGTAGCAATGAAATGGTCTGTAAAAGGCCTTTGAATAGTGATTATAGATCACATACAGGTCTGAGAGTCATGCATGGATCCAGTGTCCAGCTTAGCCCATGAATCCCTGAGTAATAACCTTGAACAATTCACTTGTCCCCAATATCACTTAATTTCTCAGTCTGTAAAATGGTGATAATACCCCATTGTAATACACTTTGAGAGCGCCATTGAAAAGATGTGGTAGGTATGGATACAAACAGGCTGCAGCAGTTGGGAGTTACTGAGTTTGAATTCTTGGGTTATGCAATTTCTGTGTGTGTTTACTCTGTGCTCCACGAAAGCTGTTATAAAATGAGGAAGCCACTAACAGATATGCTAAAAATGGCAGCAAACTGACCTTTATGTCCTGGAAAGATGTGAATTGTAAGGTGTATAAATGTGCTGGACCCCAGACCTTAGAAAAGGAGATGTAGCTGCCCTCTGAGATTTAGAGGGTGATGTAAAAGTTGGGGGGGGGGG